TTCAAAACTGAAAACAATTTTACTGAACTTAACAATACTGAAACCAACCAAGCACAAGAAAGCTACTATTTTTATAGCTTTTTCAAAGCTTACCTTAGTGCCGCTGCTACAAATGACCAAATTAACAATCAGCATCCACAGCAAATCATTGATAAAATTACTAGCAAACCTATTAGTACTGAGTACTTAGCCTAAGTACTTACTTACTTTTATATCCTTAAAAATAACAAACTTTCTATCTTATCAATTAGAGAATCTTATAACAAAAAACTCTATCCTAAAGCTTAACAAATCTTACATTCCAAATTTAACATTAAATTTAATCTACCCAAAACTAAACTCATCTTTTCTGATTTAAATACTTCTACCAACTTAACACCTTCAACTATACATGTTGGCAAAATTACAAATATTTAAAATCCTACTCAAACCCAAATCCCAAGTAAAAAAATCCCAAATTCTAAAATGGAAAAATCTCATTTGAGTTGTCATAATCCCAAAAGCTAACCAAATCCCAAATTCTGGCCAAATCCCAAACTCTGGCCAAATTCCAAATTCTGAACAAATCTCAAACTCTAGACAAATCCCAAATTCTGGCAAAATACCAAACCCTGGCAAAATCCCAAACTCTGACCAAATAATATAAGTAAAATTTTTGATTTAATATTGTGTAATTGCTAAGAATTATAACTATATATTAAATATATAGTTATTGGATATGAAATATCCAATAATGGGAGTTATTTTTACAAATAACTCTCTTATGTCAAATAAATAAGTTATTGGTATATAACAGTATTATCTGATATCTTTACTATGACAAATAACTTGGTTATTTGGCAGTCTGATCATAATAAGATGTCAGATAATATATATTATAGTGCATTTAGACTATAAAGTGTGTCAATTCAAATTTTTTTTTTTGACATTTTTTATTATAAAGTCATATAGACTATGTCTAACTCATCTTTCTATTTGAAAATAGATCAAACGTTATCTATAACTTTACAATAAGAAATATCAAAAAAAAAACAAAAAAAAATAGTAATTGATACACTTTATAGTCTAGTCAACACTTAAAAATACACGAATGCGCTATAGCGATGATGACTAGAATTGTAAGACTATATTCGATTGGTTAATTGTTATTAATATGAATTTTTTTAATTATTATTATGGTAGTTGTTTGTTTTATTGTTTTATTATTTTATTAGGCTTACTAAAAGTTATTTGAAGTTATTTGATTTATCCAAATTTATTATACAACTTTAATATAAAGCTAAGTTGATTTTTTTATAGAGTATGTAGCATATAGATTATTAATTTTTATAGATAATAAGCTTTAAGAAAAGTTTATAAATTTGTTAGAATTCAACTCTCCTTTGAATTTATCATGCATTACTGTAATTTACAATGATAATAGAAACTCCTAACAGTATAAAAGATTAACAGACAAAATCTAAAACAAATCACATCTAATGTGAAATCTAAAATATAGTACATATCAAAATTCTGAGCACCCTAATTTCTCTCCAACTTCATTATCGGAGTGCAAAAAAATTTTGATTAATAATATAAGTACCCCACTAAGTGAATAATTAGTACAATTTATTAGAAGTTGGAGTAAATTAGTAAATTCCAAAATTCTTATACTGATAAAATACAAACTCTATCTAGGGATGGCAAATGATTTAAAACACAATGTTTTAAATCAATATTGCTTTAAATTTGATTTTAATTAACATTATTTCATTATATCTAATATTATTTAAATATCATGACAATACTGAAATTAAAATTATCCAACCAGGTGCAGTAATTTCCATTAGCGTCATAATCAACAATGGTTTAAAACATTTTATTAAATCAGGTTAAAAAACATAAAAATCATTTAAAAACCGATTTTTTACCATCTCTAACTCTATCATTTTAAAATTTGAATACCTACTCTAACTGCTAACCACTAATCCCAATTCCATGTGCTAACATGACTAGGATCGAAGTGAAGGAAGAGCAAGTAACATTAATGCACAACTGATGTATGATATATATATTCTATCTATAATTTTATTCTTCTTAACTCCAATTCCATGTATAACAATAACCAATCTGTCCAAATCATTCATACCCTGCAGACTTTTGATAATAAATGAACATCTTATTTTAATCTTTCCTAACTCTGGTTAGTCTGGATTATTCATGCCTACAGATTTTAACAATAAACGAATGCCTTATTTCATTCATAACAATAACCAAGCCATAATATTATGTTCAAACTATTCATACCTGTAGGGTTTTTACAATTAATGACTTATTTTATCTTCTGAACTCCAATTAAAAGTCAAAATATCCATCCGAGTCATTTATACCAACAAGTTTTTGATAATTAATAATACTTTATTTTCATCTTATCTACAATTCAATATTCATATCAATAGTCAAACTAGAATATTCTGTTCAGATCATTAATACTTTCAGATTTACATAATAAATAAATGCCATATTTTCATGTTTTGTCTATCTACTAATTAACATGAATCAGAAATGTCTTTAGTAGAAGTTTAACAAGAAGAAAGTTCAATTATATAATAAAATGTGAAGATTTGAATTCTTCAGAAGTTCAAATCTTTACGCTAACCTTTTGAATAAATCAATTATCCTCTAGTGCCCAATAAAGCTGTAATACTGATACTAATAATTGAAAGGCAGACTATAGTAAGTTTCTAGCAAAAATATAAAAAATCTGATTTTCCAGTTTGAAGAAAGTTGTTCTACTACTTTGTATAATCTGGCGAGGTGGCAGATTCTCAATCCAGTAAAATTAACCAGAATTTAAGCATCTTTATCACTATATATATCCTTGTAAAATTATTGGGGAAAAAAATATTATCGAAAGTTCACTATGCTATAAAAAAATTAAGGATAATACTGACATTATATTGGAATTTGCCATATAAACCGCTCTGATCTGTTATATTTCATATTTGTTCAGTACAAAAAAAAAAAAAAAAAAGAAAGAGAGATGTAGTTTACACAGAAAATTGTAGTAGTAAATGTAGAGATTTGAATTCATTAGAAATTAAATCTTTAATCTTTATTGATAACTCTTTACTGCTTAATAAAGTACATTATATGTAGTATAACTGAAAGACAAACTTCTGGATAAATATAAAGAGTAAGTCTAAGGATACAATTTCCAGTCTGGATAAAGTTGTCCTGATGTTTTATAGAATCTGGCAAGGTGGTGGATTCTTGATTCTATTAAAATTAACCAGAATTTAGAATCCTTATCACTACGATTACATTCTAAGTGTTTACGAATAGCAATTGCTTTCTTGATCAAGTGGTAAAGATCTTCAGGAATCTTGGGTGCTAAACCTTAAAAGAAATGAATCAACAACATTACTTAATCAGAGGCTTCTTTTTCTTATTTTTTATTTTTATTTTTATTATTTATTATTTTTTTTTTAAAAAAAGCCTATCTTTATACTTCAAGATTTGAAGAATTTTATTTATCATAATGTTCTTAATTGGTTCAAAATTATACGAGTTTCTAAGATGTACACCAATTTGCAAGAGTGTTATACCTTCATTTGCAAGCTTTATAATTTGTTCACAGATATCTTCAGGCATACTTATATTAGAAATGAATATACAGCCTATTTTATTTTAGTTTTCTCTATTAAAAAAGGCTACATATAGGTAAATAAATACTAGTTTCATTATAAATACTTTCATTTACTATTTTTTTTTTTGTTTTTTTTTTTTTTTTAAGATAAAGTGTTAAAGATCTTGCAGATAAATAACTATAACTATTATGTATTCATGGATCACACAATAAAATAATAATGATTAATATGATATACTCAACGATAAGCAAAACATTGGTATTTATTGATCTAAAAAAATCTCATCAGTATGTGTTGAGATAAATATTGAGAAAATGTGGAGTTACAAACTTTAGATGTTATAAATCTTCAGAATAGCTACTTTCTATTGTATAGTTATTGGTCATTGGGAATCCAAAAGCAAATAAATAATGTAGTTGAATTGAAATAAAGGACAAGTAGACTACTTGCAGATATTTATTGATTATGGTTAAAAATGATAATAATTTTTTTAGTGGGTCAATAAAAATGGTCTAGTAATTCAATTAAACAAAAAAAAAAATTGCGAATACTTACTAGGAGTAATAAATTCAATATATAGATAACTAACTAGAACTATACAACCTAAATAATCAGAACCTAAAACACATTTACTTTACGAATTGGAGATATATCTCTCGATAATACATTATTATTCTTTTTTCTTTTTAATGACTTGTCTAAATCTGCAAATGATTTTTTATATCTATCCATCAGGTAATAAAGTTGAACCCAACTTTTTAATATAAGTACATTATTTAGTTATTTCTAGTGGTGTTTAAATCTATAAGTGCTTCTTTATATAAATTTTTTGGACTTCAACATTAATTATGTATTTTTAATCTAATCATTAATCAGATCATTTACATCAAAATCCCTATCTCCATGTATTACTTCTTCATCTAAACTTGTATATTCATTGGGTTCCAATCTAGAAGATAAAGATATAAAGTCTCCAACTTCTAAATTCGTTGAATTTTTATTTACTAATTCTTTCAGTTCCTCTAAAACATCTTCTATGTTTTCTTCCATAAATTCTTCCAGAAAAAAAAACGAATCCTCTTCACTAAACAAGTCAGTGCCATCTTCTATGGAATTTGCTATTTGATTAAAAATCGACAAAAGATCTTCTTGGCTAATATTTTGATTCACATAATTTAGTTCTGATTTAGTGTTTTCAACTAGAAATGAATGCATCTGGGCTATAACCTCCAGGCATTCAATGCTTAATCTAGAAAAAACAACCATTTGTAGCAATAATGTAAAATATAATAAGAGAGAAAAAATTAACACACCTAGTATGTCTTTTTCCAAAATACCAGTTCAATATACTAAATACACGCTCATAGGCAGCATTATGAGGGGAAACAGAATGTATTTTTAGAGCGAGGGTTTTAATATAATCTTCATTTCTTTTAAGGTCTATAGACATCCACCAATTAGTAATTGTATCAGCAGATGCAATAAATCCATCATCAAAAGGGGCCTCATGATTTTTGTACAAACTCATCTGAGTTTTTAAGAGATCAGCACTTATTCGACCACTACCTAATTGTTTCCATATTTCTAGTGCTTTTTTAAGAACATAATTTTTGTATACGCCAGACTAAAGAAAATCGCCTATTAAAAAAAAAATAATAATAATAATAGTAAAATAGAAGTACATTCTCAAAAGCATGTTATGCGTATATGAACTAAATTTGATATATCCTACACTATTAATAAAATTGACTATTAATCAATTGATTTAAAAGTAGATGTGGGTTATTCTAAATTTAATTCTGTATATTAAACCTTTTAAATACCATAATAAGTCAGGTGTAAAAAAAAAGCCAAAAGATACAATTCTACGTCAAATTCTTTCCATCATTTATTATAAATAGTGATGCAATCATATTGAAATTGACTATTATATAAAACAGATGTCTCTTGGATTGCGATTGCCATTTTTACCAGTTCAACAAATATATCTGCCAATACAGTGATTCGAAATTCTACATTTTTTACAGCTCGTTTTGCTGGGCTGAGAATATTCTGTAATTGCTCTATGTCAATCCAAAATTGACGATCATTAATTAGATTTTTTACAGAATTTGCTTAACTAAAAATTTGAGGTTCTTGTTCTAAAACCTATTAAAAAATTAAAATTAAAAAATGTAAGTAAAATATGGTCATGAAAGTACAATTGTGTTATATAGTCGCATAGAAAAAGAGTTGGTGGTACAATGATATAGCAATAGAAATATATATATATAATATTGTGAAATAGGAGTGAAATGAGATAATATAAAAATTGAATAGTAAAACTTGCAGATTTAATGTTTGTTTCGTTACATAATATAGATTCACAAGAATCCCATGCCATTGATCACTGGGTCTTAGTTGTTGATTTTAAATTTCCACCAAGAGTAAAGATATATATAATTTCTTCTCTGAGAGCAGCGCTAGCAGAGTAAGAATTCCTAAAAAAACTTATAATTGTTTGACAATTAGATAAACCTTTTTTCACATGAGATAATTTACAAATACTGCTACAGATAAGCTGGATGTGATGCACAATGCATCTTATAGGTAAAATGTGCAAATATTTCTCTGTAACCTGTTTTTTTGCTGCTATTATCAACATTTCAGCATCAGAAACTATGGCTATAAATTTTTCAGACCCAATGTTTTCTAATACCTCTATGATTTTTTTAGCATTAAAATTTGCTGTATGTGAAAACTTTGAAAAATTTTATAATGAATGAATATACTGTTTCCTTTCATTCGTTATTATAACAAAAGCATATATGCTTTGTTTCAATGGCCTGTACCAACTATCTACACATAAAGTTAAATTTTTGGCCTTAGATAGCTCATTTTCTACTTTAATTATGATATTTGCTACTTCTAAATTCAAAATTGATGATGCTAATGTGGTGTGCTTAGGTGGATCATAACCAGGATTTAATATCTTGGTATAATCTTCAAAGAAAGGATTATCAAAGGCTGAAAATGATATATCTGAACATACAATCCATTTAATTAATGATTGGTTGGCTTTTGTTTCTTTAGCCTTATCAATGGCTTTTTTTGTGTCATAATAAGTATTCAGAAACAACTGAAAATAGTTTGATTTTCTTTTTTTAGGGTGGCTAATTTAGAAGGTTCACTTTAAAGCTCTTGAAGTACTTTAACTCGAACTTCTCTAGGTACTCTTCCTTTACATTTCATTGCAAGATGAGATTTCATTTCCTAAGCTCTTCTTCTAGCCTATATATGAGGACAATACCTACAACTCGCCCCTTTATGCTTCCCTAATTCATTATTTATAACATTAAACTCATCCCATATATTTGATAGGGGTCATCCACTATTATTTGATGACTCAGTTTGTATAGATGATTCAGTTTCGCTAATTAAAAAAGAATTGTTTGAGGTTCTATCACTATTCGTATTTTCGTTATTTGCAACATATTCTATTTTTGCAAGTGCTAAAAATATATATATATATATATATAAAAGAATATAGAAAAAAAATATATATATGTGAAAAAAAACTGATGTAAATGATTTTTTAAGGTGGCACCATCTAACAAGTGATTCTTAGTAAAGTTATTCGGTTGAGAAAAAAAAACTTCACAATATAACTAGATAATACTTTGTATACTTTACTATATCATGCTTATACTTGCTAGACAAAACTTCCAAGATTAAACAAACAAGAAAACTTAATATTTTGCAAATATATTATCTATAACTATGTTATTTGTTTAAACAAAGATTATTTAATAAAGTATTTGGGATGAAGTTGGGATTTGGACGTGAACAAATTCAAACTAGTAATTTTGGATTTGGGCAGCAAGTATAATTGTACTAAAGTTTAATTATACTGTAATAAATTTCTTACTATATATAACAAGGCTGGCATATATATAATTGCGTCTTAACTTGCAATGCACCTACTTTTAGAAACACTAAAAAAAATTTCTTTTTAAAAATTAAATGAATAAAAAATCCAGTGAACAAATTAAGTACATAGAAGTTACTGCTAATGTATCAATGCAATCTCAAGCATCACAACAGATTTATTATTTTTATCAATATACATAATCTAAAGCATTATTTCTGATTTGTAATCTAAATTTTATCAATCAATAGATTTGAAAATTTGGCATATTGATATAGGTGAAAATTCTTAATGTTAGAATTTAGTATTTATTAAAATAAAAGTGGCACACATAATAAAAATATTTGAAATTATTAAAAATTAATAATTTATAAGTGGTTTTATAAAGTTATTAATTTTACATTTTACTCTACGTAGTACTATTAGCAATTTCGCAATATCACATAATTAAATTTTATAAACTATTATTATCATTATCTAATTTTGATAATTATCAAATAAAAAAAATTTGCCCATATAGCATTTGGGATAGAATTTGGGATTTGGGATTTGGGACTTGGAATAGGATTTGGAATTTAGATGAGATTTGGGATTTGGAATAGAGTTTGATATTTGGGATAAGGTTTGGGATTTGGAATTTGAGATGGGATTTGGAATTTAGGATGGGATTTGGGATTTGGGATTAGGATTTGTCCAATTTTGCCATATAAGATTTTTAAATTAAGTGGACAATCCCATTTATTTGGATTTGTTTATGGCTAAATCCCAAATCCCATTAGTTTTGCCAACAAGTATAATCATTAGTATAAAGCAAAGATGAATTATAATCATCACTAGTATAAAAAAAAGATAAGTTATAAGCATTATTAGTTTGAAGAAAAGATGTATTATTCATTTGTATTAACAATAAAAAAGTATGTAATAACTTAGTGAAGTAAATAAGTTGTTATACTTCCAAGTAGTAGATTGTAAGTTCAAAACCTACTGACAGTGAAATTTAAATAATCATCTATATAATATATAGATGATATTACAGTAACAGTATTCTGTTAATCAGTTGAGATAGGATACCTGTAACTATAGTTGCACTAGCATGACTGGCAGGTCTGAGGCATCTTTGTAATCTTGGTAACACAAAGAAATACAAACTAGTACTAAGCAATGCAAATCTAAAAATAAGTTTTTAGGCTATATAAATCTGTAGAACTAAGAAGCCAGAGCTTACTTGAAAATTTTGAGCAAAGAGATAATACATATCTTTAACAGTATTACTATAAAGGCTAAATCTAGAAAATAGATACTAATATAAAAAATCATGCAGACAAGAACCTTAGATAAGGAGTATCACCAATTAGGCCATTAGATTTTAAACTAGAAAAAAAGAATATTAGGCCAGCCTCAATATACCAAGAACAGGTCACAGTCCTTTTAAGCTATCTGAATTGAGAGTCTAAGGTCAAAGTAGAAATATACTAAAAGTACTAGGGATATGCTATGAAGTTAGTACTGAGGTTTGAATAAACTTTGTAAGTGTAGTTCTTGTTAGTGCTTTAAAAGTAAGTAGATAGTTAACAATAAGAGACCTTCTGTGTTTAACTGGCAGATAATGTATTTTAAAATATATAATAGCCTGAAAACTAGTACAAAAAGAGTAGGTACTATACTGCTTAGATGGTATACTAATTAGATATATATAGAGATAAGTTGAAATTACATTATAATAGCACAAATCAAATAAATCTATACTGGATAAATATCAGAAAACTGATATTAAACAAAAGTTAACTAATAGATTCACAATATTATAATGAGATTTAAACTTGATATGTTACTGATATGAAACAGAAATTTGGCAGGAATAAGATACCTTTCAGAATTATATCGAACAATTAAAATAAATCTTTCAGTGTTATTTCATTTAACTGAAAATTAATTTTGCATTATGATAACTTAATCAAAATCCTAATATTAATTATTTAGAAATAATATCAGTAAGTTTCAGGACACTTATCATAAGCATATTGGAATTCCGATATCACTATATATAAAATGATTGTTTTTGTTTGTTATTGCTTCACTGTATTAGATGTTACCAAACATTTTTGATTAAAGCAATAGAACTAAATATACTTATTAAAAATTTTATTCAAAAGCAATATTACAATTTTAAAAAAAAGCAATAATACAAAAGTTTTCACAATTTTAAACAAATTGATGATGTTAGCAAAAATGAAAATATATTATTTCTAATTCATTGCTTCTTATTTACCATCAATAATAATAGCAGTTTCTTTAGCCTCTTCTTTATTTGTACCATTATTATTTGTGCTGTTATTACCAATATTACTACTGCCACTTACTGTGGCTTCTTCTTCATAATCTAATTCATTTACTTCATCATCATCATCATCACCTTCATTATTATCATCACCTTCATCATTATCATCATCATATTTATCATCATCTTTGGAATGATATGAAATAGATATGGTCCAGGCAGGGGCATCAGCTGGAGGCCTAGAATTATCAACCCAGCTCATGCCGTTGTACCATTATTTTCTGGTACATTTAATATGCAAAATATTTCCACCCACTTGGTCAGTGAGTTACATAATTTTTTAATCTAATTTCTATAGAATAAAAAAGATAAAATAATAATTTATAATTAGAATAATCAATTTTTATAAATAATGCAATAGTATATAGATCATAACCAGAATTAGTAGAAATAATATGTAATTACTTACCTGCCAGGACTCCATCATTTATCCTTAACATGAAGTACATGATTATCCTCTTTTCCTTTTTTGGATTTAGGATGAATGTTCAGTCAGCGTTCTGTTAGAGCCTGTTCAATATCAGTTTCTGAAACTTCGTCTGAATAGAAGTCACCATCATTAATTATATATTCAAGATCGTTTTTAAACTCATTCCAACTCATCGAAAGGGAAAGTTCTGTGAGTTTCTTATCATTGATATTAAGCATATGACTAATACCTCAGATGCATCTTATTTTTTTCTATAAAATAAATAGATGATTTATAATTAATATCAGTAGATCAGTATTTTTATTAAAATAAAAAAAGATTATAGGCCTATTTAGTTACTTATCTAACTAAAATAATATTGCAAGTTATATTAAATTGTATTATATTAGTATCATATTAGTGGTGTTACTATTGATGTATGATTAATATAATACAATTTTATATAACTTGCAAAGTTATTTTAGTAGAATAAGCAATTAAACTATATACTTACTTCTT